TCCATCTCGATTGTCTTCTACAAAATTGCCAAGAAAACTTAAATAAATCTGCTCACGGGTGAGGGCAGAGGGTGGCGAACGGCAGGAGGGCGGATGGTGGCGAACAGAGCGAGGCGGATGGCGCCGAAAATTGAAGTACGGCGGTGGCGCACGACAAAGTCGTATGACGGTCAATGAACGGAGGGCCAGAGGGGCGGATGTGATGGAGGGGTGGAGATTAGGGTTTAATTGAGAAATTTGTTGAGATAATAATGAAGGATAAAGTTGAGTGCAGAGAGAGAGAGGATGCGGGTAAAAAAAATGAGAGAATGATGATTTGGGAAAAAAAAAATAGGGTTTGGGAAAAAAATAGAAAGATAGAAATTTTATATTTTATGTTTTTTTTTTTCTTTTAATAGATGACGAGCCAGCCTGCCCTGCTCCGCCCCAGTTCGCGGCCCGCGCAGGCTGGCCCGTTTAGGCCCGCTCCCCAACTGGCCTAGAAAATCTCGGTCTAACCCGCCCTTTTTGCGGGGTGGGGAGAGGGGGAAGGGGGCTGGCCCGCGGCCGTGGGCCAAATTGACAACTCTAGTTAGTATATTGAAACTTGTTGGTAGGCTTTTCTTGAGAATACCTAAACGCAGGAGTATTTCCCATGGGGAATTACTCGTTTCAATTCATGTTCGATTACCTGCACTCAGTCGAGTATCATAAGATGAAATATCATATCTGTGGATTTCACTAGTCGTTTGTAATATGGTGCTCCAAGGCAAGCCTTGCATAAGGACATGCATTTGGATTTTGTACCTCCGTGATATCCGCTATGACTGGTCAGCTGGGAATTAAGGAAGGTCACAATTCTAGACACATTTTTTAGCGATGAGGTATTATTTGAATTAAAACATTTATCCTTTATTTAGTTTAGTTTGTGTTCCTTTATTTATAAATATATGTAGTTGGAAATACATGAGACGCGAGCCGAATGAGAAAGAGACTTCGCAGTTGAACCTCGGGAATGTGAATTTTGAGGGGCCTCCATTTGTGCGATGGGCTCACTTGACCGTACGCGCGACTTAGCGTCGCCACCCACGTCGGATGTGAAATCTAAAATTGTAGCTGACACTATGCAGCCGAGAAGGCGGCCTGAATCGTAGGTGAATAGGTGCTGCGGGAGGAAGTGTGGTCGGTTGAAAAGAGGCTGGATGTATAGAGGTCATTGCTGCAGAAGGAGGTTAGGACTCATTCGACATGAGTTAGCACCGACAATGGACCCCTCCCTCCCTTACCGACAGCGGACTCCCACCCCCTCCTCCCCTCTCCAGCCGCTCATCACCTCCACCAATACAACCAACCCCTTCTTCTCTCACCAATAGCCGCCCCCCAACACCACCGAGAGCTCCACCCCTCATCCCCTCCCCCACAACCACTCATCACCTCCACCGAGACAGCCGAGCTCTCCGCTATTCACTAAACACCCGCTCCTAACATCACTGAAAGCACCCCCTCTTCTCCTCTCACCAACAATCTCCCTCTAACACCACCAAGAGCCCCATCCCCTCCCCCTCTTACCAACAGTGCCCCCTCCTCCCCAACACCACTAAAAGCCCCACCTCATCCTCCTATCACCAGCAACTGCCCCTCACCTCCGTCGAGAGATGCACCCCCTCCTCCCGTACCCAACAATCGGTCCCTTAGTCGCCCAAGGATTTTTCCATTAAAGTAGATCGAGAAAGACAACCATGATGTGCTATTAAAAGTCCATTTTGACCCATAAAGAAACTAGCCAAAAATACGATTACGTTTAAGCGTTTTATGAATCCAATGCCTAAGTATTTACTACATTATTTTAGTATGTTTTATTTACGTAATATCATGAGTTTTTTTAACCGATGTGATCAGATATATGTTTTTATCTTTGAGCTTTTCGAACATTTGAGTCTATTATTATATTGCTTGTAAAAGTTTTAAATTATTGCATCGAGAGTATACTAGGTCGTGAGGTTTTCTAGTTTTTTTATGTGAGGTTGTTTGATGTAAGAGTCTCACGCTTTTGTGGATAAGTTTTATAAGTTATAATAGAATAGAAGTTAAAGGTCCATCCTTATATGAAATGAAATGAAATAGAAGTAGTTATTTATTTTGTCCTTTAGATTGGCCTTGACCCATTTTTGCACTAATGGGTCGCATATAGGTTCCGCTATAATCATTCCATCACTTTCTGCATAGGATGCGTGTTATATTTATTTAATGCTTTTATTCTACTTCACATGAAGAATGTTGCATTAAATAAACCAACTTATGATTAAGTTGATGATGTCTTGAAACTAAACCCTAATTTTCTGAAACATGCAAGGAATTTAATTTGATAAATTTTATATCAAATTGATATGGATAAATAGGTTGGACCTATTATTCCATGCCTTCCATCAAAGGTAGATAACATGACGATGCTACGGTGTTTGGTCACTGACCGTGAGTATACTGGAATCGGTGAGGATCTCGTTGTGTACAAGTCACGAATTCAATAACAATAAACCTATGCGCAGCGGATCTAGAGATTTAGAGTTGAATACTTACGGTTTAAAACACACTCTGAATCGTTGTGGATTACCGCTGTAGGAAATCGTATGAACTGAAAACCCGTTGGGCAGTCGGATTATTCTCGTCGGACTCGAGAAGCTCACGGGCGCGTTGGCTGGGAGCAGCGGTCGTGTCGCGGGATCGCCAGCGTCGGGCGGAGGCACGACTGTCGTACGGCGTCGGGCTGATGCGTGCGGGTCCCCAGGGCGTGTGAGGTCGTCGCAGGCTGCGGCTTGCATGCGGCTGGCTGCGGCTCGCGGCGGTCATGGGGTTGATCGCCGGTTGATGATCAAGGGGTCTCGGTACCTGGGGATGTTCTACTGTGTATCTCAAACACCTCTTTTGAATTATATCGGTGGAACAACAAGATGGAGATAAAGCTAGACTATGGGAACCAGATAGAGTATGAGGGGGCGGCCAAAACGTGTCTGCACGTTAGGTTTCTGCTATTCTCTTATACATCAATCTCATTAGCTTAATAATGTATTTCTAGAGCTACAGTAGG